CAAAAAAGAAAAAAAAAAAAAAAAAAAAAAAAAGGCCCCTGACGGGTCCCTCAACTTTTAGTCATTTGTCTTCCATTCTGGTGGGAGCAGAGCAAACACAGAACATTCACACGTTAAACAGAACATGTTCCATCACGTGAGCCCCTAACTGCATCTTCCCCAGCTAATCATTCCGCTCACAGGTCTCTGCTTAGTGAAGCCCCAGCGAGGACTGTCATCTCTTCAGGAGAAAGGCTTCAAAGGTTGTTTTAAAAAATAAATAAATAAAACTCCTCCCCTGGTTCACGTCAAGGAGAGAATGTTCTTTTGTAGACAGTGCTTTGTGCTTTCAATTACTAGAATAGAAAACACACTAATTTTTCTTTTCTTTCTTATCCACTCATGATTTTATAAACGAAAGACTTTTTATTTTTAAAGATTATAGGGGCATTCTGTTATGAGTAATTCAATTAAAAAAAAAAGAAAACCTTTTACTCTAAGACCCAAATGAGAGATATATTTGCAACATTTAAAAATCTCAATGAAACAATAATACAATCTCTCCACGATGCGAACCTCCACTGTGATCAAATGCCACCAGGTACCACAGGTTATCTGGACAGTGCAATGAGGAGTAGCGCATTAGGCTTTAAGAACCAGACCTTATTATTTTATACATTAATAAATAAACATATATATTACTATATCTCAATCTTAAAAAAAAAAAGAGCATTAAGGAAATGCTTTTAGAGATGGAGAAGGGAGAGAACTGGTCTCTTTGGAAACAGGGAAAGCTCCCCAGGGGAGGCGGCTATTAAGATGGGTGTTAAAGCCAACAGGAAGGACTCTAACCAGCGGAGGTGGAGAGCAGAAAAGACACAGGGAGGGACAGAGGGAAGAATGCCTGGCACAAAAGAGTTTGAACCGAGGGCAACAGTGGGGAAGCACTGCCTCTGAGGAATTCTGTTTGCCTGGAATGAAAAATATGTGAAGGGAGTAGAAGGAGAGCAGGGTCTGTCTGCCAGGCTGAGCAACCTAGTGGCATACTAGACAACCACTCACCACTGGATCCTTTGAGCAGGGTGATATGATCAGAGCAGTTCTTTAAGAAGTTAAATGGGGCGGCCAGGGATGGTAGGCATTGGGAGAAGACAGATGAGGGTACAGGACATCAGCTGGGAGACTGTTCCATGACCTGAACTGGAAACATAGAGGTGAGAATAGAAACATAGAGGTGAGAATAGAAAGTATAGTTTCAAGAGATACTACTAAAAAAAAAGAGTGGCTATATCTATATGTATAACTGATTCACTTTGCTGTACACCTGAAACTAACACAACATTGTAAACCAACTATACTCCAATAAAATTTTTTTTAAATACAAATATAAAAAAAAAAAAAGATGCTACTGAAGCAGACAAAAAGGGCTGGATGGAGGTCAAAGAGGAAAGAGCAGAGTCCAGTCATGAGCTGGGGCTTGGAGCTGGTGAATGAAGGAATGGTGGTTCCAGTAACAGAAAAAGGAAATGCAGAGAAACATGTTTAGGAGGATGGGGAGAGATGCTCACAAGAGATAGCAGCTGTGGAACTAATTCTTAAATCATCAAGTGGCCCCAAATGGGGCAGCTTCTGTTGAGTAAAGAGGAGGAAGGGGAGAATGATGATCCTAGTGAGGATTATGAGAACAAAGATTTTTGTTTTGGATGTCTTGCATTTAAAATGTCAGCATCCATGCGGAGTTGCCCATCAGGAAGCCGGGGATTCAGAACGGGCTTTCAAAAGAGGAGTTGGACCAGAGATCCTGGCATGGGCATCAACTGCACAGAAACTTCAGCTGACTCCTTAGAAGAGGATGAGCTCACCAAAGAGGGGACTCCAGAATGAGATGAGAACCTCTGGTAATTGGAAATAGGGAGCAGTATGTCCCTTATTACCATCAAAACCCTACATTTTAATCTTTTAGTCATTTCCCTATCCAAATTCTAAGTGTTACTAACATGGATATAAAGGGTTGAATTTCCATTTCATTTCTTCTCCCTTCATCTACCTGATGAGAGATAATGTGTACTGAGAGGCAGAAAGAAATGAAACAAGAAAAGGAGCAAAAGCAAAGGACTTGAATTAGCTGCCAATTGACTAATCAGCTGGACACTTATCGGCAAGACCATTAGCCAGCACAACCAGTGATGGTCGAAAAGTCAGATGCGTCGCTGCTTCCTCTGCATGGCTGGCTGGAGAATTGGAGCAAACACAAACATTTTCCCAAGTAACCAGAGAGAAAAGAATTTGGTGGTTTTATTCTTGGTATCTCACCAAAGAGCTGTCTATTTCCAGCTGAATAGAAGCACATTACAGAGAAGAATGCATCACTTTAAAACAGATTAGGGATGCAGCATGTGGTCACAGGCACAAAATCCAAAAGAAACCAGGCATCATGGTGGAAAGAAGGCAGATGGTGAGCTGCTCTGGCCATACCCATTCACTCTCTCATTCATTTTCCTTATAGAGTTTGAGGACCTACTACATGCCAGGCACTGCACACGGCCCCCGTAAATTCAAATTGCACCGCTTCCAAAGTGCTCTCAGGGAGACAGACATGTAAACGATTATCCACAGCATGCAGAGAGGCCGCAGGGTTATGCACAAACCGCCATGGGAGACAAGGGGTGGAGTGACTAGTGCGCAGGTGGATGAGACAGGCTCTGCCCTCCGGGACCTTGCGGCCAGTGGGGAGACAGGCTCAAATATTAGTCTTGAGAAGAAGCCTGACAGGGGTAAACCTATGTGCTAGGAAAAGATGTGTATGGAGTGTGCTTTGAGAGTGAATCAGCAGCGATATAACGGAAGGAGAAAAAGTCCTTTTTCAGCAGGACATTGGAATGACTCAGAATTAAATAGGTGTGTGAGCACCTATTTAATCCTAACAACAACCCTGTGAAATAGTGTTTGTTGCCTGCTTTTTATCAATGAGGAAATGAGGGCTCAGGAGGATTAAGTGACTTTCCTCTGCTAACAAGTATCAGGGCTAGGAATCCAAACAAGATTTCCTAACCCCAGATGCAGTGCAGAGTTCTTTCCACTACACTGATTTAGTAGGAGAGAACACACACACACACACACACACACACACACACACACACACACTTCTGAAGCTGAGAACAGGAAGAGATGGCTTTTCGCTGGGGTGATCTGAGCAGACCTCAAGGAGGAAGTGGTACCCATGCCAGGCTGGAAGAGTGGGCAGGAAGCAGAACGACCTGTGAGGAGAGAGAGGGAGAGGGATCAAGTTGGAAGTTTAACACCCTCTCAGGGGATGCCTCTAGCCCTACCAGGAAGATCTGGGGAAGCTTTCCAGAGGTGATGGCTGGTACGCACGTACAGGTGTGCACAGGAGCTCACCGAAAGTGAGCTCAAGAACAGAGCTAATCTCACAGCTAGTTGGCCTGGGGCTAGCTGCTGGCAGGCAAGCAGTGCAGTGCAGTGCAGAGCCCCATCTGGCACGTGCTCAAGAGGGGCTGGCAGTGCCTTGTGGGGACAGATGACTTATGTGGTCTACTCTCACTTAAGATCAAATAATTTTTAAAAAGACGCACTTAAGAATGAAGGAGAAAGTGGGGGAGGAAGGAAGGATGGAAGGGTAGACTGGCTTAGTAAGGGGTCACGTTTGGATGCTATTTCTGGTCCAGTTTTTGTTTGCAGCTGTAGGCCTGTTAGTTAATTTCTGTGGATCGCTTTCCTTGCATATGAAAGAGAGATGATAAATCCTAACCTAACTCACAGACTAATAAGAAACTAGAAGCGAATGCATTTGAAAAGCTGAAAAACATCACTCACTCCAAGAGAAACCATTATCAGTATCACATTTATAGACGCGAATAGATGGCTGGTGGCTGAATAGACGGACTGGCTAAGATGGTCCCAGACCTATGTTCACTTTTTTGGCCAAACATGGTGCTTCGTGGGTTTTCAGTCACCAGATCTCGGAGCTGACCCGGTGCTACTGTCTGAAGAGGGTGTGTTCAGTGCTGAGGCTTCAAGACAAGTTCCCAGCAGCCCTGCCCACTGCCTTCCCAGGGGAGTCAAGCCGTTGGGCAGGAGACAGCACTGGGAGAGGTGTCAGACTCACCCCCCAGCCATCCTGTTTCACACAGGTGCACACATACCGCCTGCCCATGGCTGCCTCGCTGGCAGGCGGAGAACTCAAAGAATTCTGTAACCAGCACTGCCGAGTTCATACCCCACCACTGGGCAGAATTTCAGGGGTTCCGTCCCTTCCTGGGAAAGTGCACCCTGTAGATGGGGTGCCCAGACACCCAGGTTGTCAGAGCCAGCCCTGTTTAAGCCTATCATCCCAGTGTAACTGTTGTAGCACCGCCCTTCACTCTCAGAAGCGTCTCAGTTTGAATGGTCAATTCTAGGGTCTCCTTGCTTTTAGCCACCAAGAGAAACCTCCTCGTCATCCTCTTGGGAGGTCAACTCAGAGGGACGCAGAAACTGCCCTTGCCCCACACCCAGTGCTCGGTGGAATAATCCTCACTTCTGTTTCATTCCAGGTGCACAGCGTAATGTCCATGTTGTTCTACACTCTGATCACAGCTCTTTGGATCGGCGTCCAGGCAGAAGCGCACACCCAGAGCAATGTCCCAGCAGGACACGCCATCCCCCAAGCCCACTGGACTAACCTTCAGCACTCCCTTGACACAGCCCTCCGCAGAGCCCACAGCGGCCCGGCAGCCGCGATAGCCGCCAGGGTGGCAGGGCAGACCCGCAAGATCACCGTGGACCCCGAACTGTTTAAAAAGCGGCGCCTGCGTTCACCCCGTGTGCTGTTTAGCACCCAGCCCCCACCTGCGGCCGCGGACGCTCAGGGTCTGGACTTGGAGGCCGGCGGGGCCGCCCCCTTCAACAGGACTCACAGGAGCAAGCGCTCGTCGTCCCACCCTGTCTTCCACCGGGGGGAGTTCTCGGTGTGCGACAGCGTCAGCGTGTGGGTGGGGGACAAGGCCACCGCCACGGACATCAAGGGCAAGGAGGTGATGGTGTTGGGAGAGGTGAACATCAACAACAGTGTATTCAAACAGTACTTTTTTGAGACCAAGTGCCGGGACCCCAATCCCGTCGACAGTGGATGCCGGGGCATCGACTCGAAGCACTGGAACTCATACTGTACCACGACCCACACCTTCGTCAAGGCGCTGACCATGGATGGCAAGCAGGCTGCCTGGCGGTTCATCCGGATCGACACGGCCTGTGTGTGTGTGCTCAG